TGCTCGGTGTGCGCCCGGCTGGAGGGCGAGGCGTGCGGCGTCTACACCCCACGCTGCGCCCAGGGGATGCGCTGCTACCCCAAGCCAGGCTCCGAGTTGCCCCTTCACGCGCTGGTCCACGGCGAGGGTACTTGCGAAAAGCTCGGGGACGCCGAGTACGGCGCCAACCGGGAGCAGGTTGCAGGTAACGCGGGCAGGGAGCACGAGTTGGGAGAAACTTGGAGGGCAGCGGGGCTCTGGAGGGAAGGAGTATTTGGCGGGACCTCAGGAACTGCTGTAGAGAAGGAAGAACGGAGTTCTTGATCAGATCTGGGGAAGATTGTTGAGAGCGGGAACCCGAAACTCAGGCCCCGGGTGGGGGACTGGGTTGAACAAGCGGAAGAACCCTGGCTACCAATTTGGTCGGGACACATGGGGAGAGGAAAGGCACTCTGGTTACCATAGCCTTCCCCGGGTGAGACGTATTCTCACTTGGATTCTGGAGGGGTGGTTTGCTGGGGAGGAGGGTTAGGTCTTTGGAAATAAGAACTTGGAGCACAGCTTGAGTCGGTAACGTGCTATCGGAGGGTCCTAGTGAGAACGCTATGGGAGGCCGAGGCCACCGAGTGCTGGTGACACCGGGGACCACGGGTGAAATGGGGGTGCGGGAGGGATGTCGAGGGACCTTTCTGGGGTTAAGTGAGGAGGAGGACTTGATGCTTTGTAGGGTGAGTTGGTTAGGAGAACAATTAAAACGAATGCTACTATTTTACATAGAGAATGCAGAAGGCTCTTTCAACAGTTGGATGGTAAAATAAAAGCGCGCGGGAGAGGGGGCAGTGGGGGAGGCGAGAGGAGACCCGGGCAGTCGGATTAATGTAATTTAAGCCGTATCGCCCGCTGCATTCCCGGGACCCTGGCAGCCTGGCTAGGCGGTTAGGCATCTAGGCCCCAGGTCTGCAGGCAGCCGGGGCGTGGGGAGCGGAGACTCCTAGTGAGCGTTACACCCTCCCCCTCCTAACCCCGGGAACGCTTCCTATCCGGTAGAATGGGGATCCCGGGGTTCTTTGTTAAGGGACCCAATTTTTTTCCAAAAAGCTATTTGAGGGACGCAACCAAGCTATAAGGAGTTCACTTTTTTTTTTTTTTTTTAATAACAAAAGCTCCTTGCCTCCCTGGTCAGGAAAAAGCTGCAGCTATTTCTTTGCTCTTGCAGGCAGTGGTAAATGTGTCCATTGCTCGCTGCTGTTTAAAAAACAAGTGAGTCTGACCAAGTTTCTCACTAGGGGAAAAAAGAAAAAGTGCGAACATTCTTGCTTGCTTCTCAGCTTCTTTGTAAGCCCCCTCCCTTCCTCCGGCCTGCTATTGTTTTGTTCTCTGATCTCCTTGAGAATGGAATTAAGGGTCAGAGTTGAAATCTTTCTTCTATTTCTCTGGCACAGTTTGACTTTGCGTACAGAGCTAGGTAGTGCTTCCTCCTAAGTGGAAGCCCTCCGTTCCTTTCTTCTCCCTCCCAGCCTGCCTTGCAATTAACCCTTCCCTTCTGCCACTCTTAGAGGACATTAATAAAGGGGAAAAGACTTGGGCATCCTCTTCCTGAGTGGAGCCTGTCCCCAGTCCTGCGGTTCTGAGGTTTTGTGTGGTTTCTGAGCTGGACTTGGACAAACTAAACATCTTCCTCAGCAGGGTGAACTTTTTGAAAGGCCTCTTGTGATCTGTTTGGATTTTTACTGTTTTAATAAAGTGTGTGGTGTCATTTCTTTCTCACCATTTTAGTATTTTTTCCACTCTTTCGTTTGTCTCCCCCTAAGCCTGAAATCCAGCTCTCCAGCTTTCCAGAGACCCCTGAAGCAGGTTCGGGTCTTCAGCAGGCAACAGATGGGGGGAGGGGGGAAGGTTCTTTCCAGCCACTTTTCCTTTCCTGGGGGCTGGGGGTGGGGTTGTCAGTGGAGCCTGAGGACAATGGAGTGACTTCATGGGAAGAATGTCACTCTGCATTTTCTGCCTGCTTATGGGACTCCCTTCCACCAGCTTGCCCCAGCTGCCTTCTCAGCCTTCTCCCCGTGCCCAGACACCTTCCGAATTTTTCTCTTGTGTTCCAGTCTGGGAAGAGAGGACATTAAGCAGAGGTGAGGGGGTGAAGGGCTGAAAGCTGAAAGAAATGACCAACACTGGGGTGCCTGAATGGTGCCTGGGGTGAGTAGGGCGAGCGACTTAGTTATGAAGAGTGGTAGTGTGGGAGCTGGGGGGTAGGGTGGGGACTGCATATGGCCCAACAGAGACCTTAGCCCTGCTTGCTGTGGGCTTACTCTCCATCTTCCATCTCCTTCTCCCCTCTCTGAAGAATGAACCCCCCACCCCCAGCCTGCATTCCTCTTTGAGCAGGTTGCTTTTGAGAATTTTAAACATACCCTCTTATTTCCAGGCAGCAAACCCCAGCAGTTCCGGCTTTGCTGTTAGCTCTTTTGTCTTTGTTCCCAGGACTCAGGGGCTGTGTTGCTGGCTTCCTGGGGATGGCAGGGATGCAGTGGGTGGGGGTGGGCGGTTAGAAGTGGGTGATGGTGAGCCTGTATCCTGAGGAAGAGGGGTGATGGGCTGGGACTTGGGTCACAGGAACTGAGGAGTCAGACTGGGGTGTAGTTGTAGGGAGGCCTGGCAGAAAAATGAAAGGGGGAGCCTAGGATCTGCCTGAAGTCGAGACTTTACAAGTCTGTGGGTAAGGTGGTGGAGTGGGCAGAAGCATCCAGAAACGTGGGGCCCTTTCAGAATTCTGGCCTGGCCGGTCCCTCAGTATCTCCCAGCCTCCTTCCCCACTGGGGTACAATGCAGGGGATTATGCTGAGGGGTGGGCCAGCTGGCCCTCTGCTCATATAAAGGTGCTATAGAAATGTGCAGTCATTCAAAGTCCCAGGCCGGTGGGCAGGGAGGTTCCATGTCTGCAGTTGTTGGGGGAGAATAGGGGGGAGAGAGGCGGGCTTGATTTACAGTGGTTCAGTGCAGCTTCACAACTAGGGGGGGAGAAAGCAACGGGACTTCTGGCTGGGAGTGCTGCTTTGCATCTCGTCTTGCATAAATTTGCATACCGAGTTCAAAGTCGTAAAATAGACTGGGGAATGAGTGGGACCCACTGTCACTGATTGTTAACACCACTACCTTCCGCCTCCCCCACCCTGCTGCTGGACAGAACTCCTTGAACCAGCTCTGCTAAGCTGTCGCCTGAGTCACCCCAGGAAGGCTTGGAAGGAGGGGGTGAGGGGCTGAGGCTGCAGCTCCTGGGCTCTCTCTTGGACACAGAGAGTTGGTCGGTTAAGAGACCTTAAGTAGGGTGCAGCTCTGTACACCTTGGAGACAGGCCTATCTCTCCAGGAGGGCCAGAAGTGACTAGTGAGGGTACAGTGGGTGGTGTTCTTTGTGGCTGAGGTAGACCAGAGATATTTGTTCAGTTTTCCCACCCAAAGGACTCTTGGAATAGGTGCAAGAGCTTACTAGAAGGAAGAAGCCACCTGTTGTGGTAATGAGGGTCATGTAATTATTCTTGGGCAAATGACATTTGAGTTTCCTGGTAGGCAAATGGAAGAGGAAGAGTTAGTGCTTCATGCCTCTCATTTTAAGTACGATTTCTGGCAAATCATTCTTTTGGGTTAAGGTTAAATCGTGGAATTTAGTGTTACAAATGTGCCATAGAAGCTTCTCGCTGGTTCTCAGCAGGGCTGTCCTTCTCTAGCATGGAAAATGGGACTCATTGCTCTCAAAACTGATAGTTCTTAGCCCCAGTGGAATGGAGAAAGGGTAAGGACATAGGACATACAGAAAGGCTGGGCCAGGCTGCTAATGGGATTGAGGTAGAGCAGAAATCAACAGGCTTTGTCCTCATTTGGTTTTGTTGTTGGTCCTCACATACTGCAGTGCTTTACCAGGAAAAATAAGAAAAGCTGAGGGTTTTTTGTTGTTTTGTTTTAAAGGATCATATCCAGGGGCTATATTTTGTCTCTGTTTCTTTTCTCCTTTCCCAGCTTCTCCTTCCTCCCCTGCCTTCTCTATCCTGTCCTCTCAGTCCCACTAGACTATTCTCTTTTCTCATTCCTTTCTCTTCCCGCAACCCTGTCATGCCTGGCCCAAATGGGACACCTGGCTACACTTAAAGTAAGTGGGCAGGGCTCAAGAAGGGTGTGGAAAATACATTGACCTCAGTCTTCCTCAGACCCAGTCAGAGGGAGACCATGCAGATGATTGGAGACTAGGATGTTAAAGAAACTGAAATCCTTGAAAGAGGAGGCTGGTTGGTTGACTGGCTGGGCAGGGGTTGGCTTTATAGGAAGGGACTTCTGTGGGCAGAGGACTTTTGCTTTCCTGCTACAGAGCTTAGTTAGAGGCTGGTTCTCCTGCACTGAAGGCATGGGGGGACGGTCATACTTGGGCTTCACCAAGGGAGCTGGGGTCTGCTTGGCAGATGTTCCAGGCTCCTCTGCTTCTCCTTGTTATCTCTGGCCAGCATCTTCCTGAGGTGGCAGGCAGCCATCAGGAGTTGGGTCATCCCCCCATCTGTCCTTATTCCAGTGGAACTGACTTCTTTCCTGCCTCGTCTCCTGTTTTCCTCCCTTCCTGTGAGGACAAGGAAGCTTTGCCGTCTCTGTCTCACAGGTGTGGACATGGGCCTCAGTCAAGGGGCTGAGTGACTGAGAAGTGAGGAGTGACCAGTCTGGTTACCTTCTTTCCACACCCCTTTGCCCCTGGAGTTGAGCAAGGGATTGGTTGGGCTGTTGGCAGCAAAAAGCCTTTGAGTGTATTGGCCAGAGGTTGAGTTCTAAACCCTTGCCACACTCAGGTGAGGGATAGCTGTGACTCATCATTACCAGATTTGGGTCATTGTATTGGTTTTCCTTGATTTCCTTTGCAAAGCCCAAATCCTTGCACTGGGGGACTTAAAAAATGTAAGTGACTGGCTTGCAGCAGTTACACAAGACAGGAAGAAGGGTCCCAGGAGATCTCTGGAGAGAAATAGCTGGTAGGCAGCTGCTGTTGTGGAAACAGTCATTGACCTGGTCCCAGTGAAGACTCTTGGACATTCAGGGCTCAAATGCCAGGTTTGGTGAAATAGGGATGATTTTATCTCCTTCATAGTGTACACATTAGGCCGCCTGTGGTCATAAAAAGTGCCTGGCACTTAGTAGATTCTTAACATTGGCAGGTGACACTGATACTTGG